TTAGATAATCAAAACAAATTTAAAATGGCAGTGGTTATTACATTTTGAAATAAAATGCTAATAAATTTAAAAATCATGTACGAATTAAACCAAAATGATTCAGATTGCAAGAATTGATTTAAAATAGACTGAATTATATGAATTTTTTGTGGCCAACAGTCTTGAAAAGAACAATTTCAACTTTGAATTACTTGTTGAGAAAAAAAAAATTCAATTTATCAAAAATAAAGGGAAGAAAAAATAACGATAAAATAAACGCCACACCAGACAACGAAGCAAATGAAAGAAGAAAAAGGGAAAAAAATCCAAAAAACTTGTCGAGAAAGGAAGGGAAAGAAAAAAAGAAAAGAATAGAAAAAGAGTAAAAGCCAAGCAAAGGCTTTAGAAGGATATGCAATTAACCGTAGGATTACGATAAGATCATGAGAGAAATTGCTTGAGTAAATGTACTTTAATTTGAATGCAAAAATAACCAGACTTATCTATCAAAATAAATAAATTGAACTTCTTCAAAAAGCGATAGCAGAATAAAGCTTGGCTTCTCAACGGTAAATTTCTCGTAATCTCCGACCAATCTTCCTCTGTTCCTCCCTTCCCTCACTGCGTCTGAGACCATGCATAGACAGTCTCTGAGCTCACCGTCCTCAAAGCTTCACAGTCATGGCGGAGCCAAGGAGAATAAGGACACTGTCGAAGAACCGAAGCTCAGAGACTCTGTTTCATCGGCGTCCATTTGCGACGAAGACGACGACAACGCCGGAAAGAGTCGTCGAGCTTCATTGCCTCCTTCCAGAACAGACAAGTTCATACACCTCCTTCCCATTCTCATTTTTTGCTGCTTCCTCGTTCTCTACCTCTTCTCTCACACTCCCTCTGCTTCGGAAATGGCTTATTTTCGTGGATTCAATCGCTCCTCCTGGCATTCTGGTTTGATGCATTTCCAGATTTCCACAGTAATAATTTCATTTAACCAATTTTCTTCGACCAGATTTTCTTAAAAATTCATTTGTTTTTGTTAGATTCAGCGGTGGATTTGAACGACATTCGGCATTTGCCGGTAGAGAGAGCCGACACTTTGCCGATCCCCACCGTGGAAAATTTGCATGAAATCCGGCCACACAGGAAATTCGCCGATTTTTAAGCTGCATTCTCTGGTTTTACCATCCAGATGATTCCTGCAACTTCGTTTCACGCGCCACGAAGATTCAACAGGAATAGTAGGGAAACAAGTCACGCTCTTGACTTCTGTATAAGCATTTGAAACTGGAAATGCAATGCCTCGCGGATTGATAATTGATAATTGACAAATTACCACAAAATTATACGCCTCTGTTTCATTTTTTTTAGTTGTGTTTGTTTATTGCAATTCGGAGGGGTGGCATAGGTTAAAGTGAGCCTCTGGCGAAGGCGCAGGATAGCAGGTGCGCCGTATGTTGAACACAGCTGGATTTTGGGACCGTTGATGCACTTCGAATTGAGGTAGGGAATTTGATGCGAATGCGATAACAACTGGAAATAGTTTGAGGGAATTACTATCTGGATTAAATTTGGGTATAATCTTTTATATTTTAAAATTGTCAATTAAAATATAATAAGTATATGATTCAAGTAAGGGAGTCACATATCGACAAGTTTACTCTTGCGTTAAGAAAGTATTTGATTATTCTTCTCCTCGGTAGTTATTAGTATTGTCATTGCTTCACAGGTCATGATAGAGTTGCTTGTTTGAATATTTAAGTTTTGTTAATTTTTTAGTGTCAAATACTCAAATTGGCACGAATGATTTGCATTTTTATCAAAATGAACAAAATAATATATCAGTGAGAAGATGAACAAGTTGGTAGGAATCCACTTATTTATTAAAAAAAAAAAAAGCTGACACCGGTTGTTGCATAATCTTGTTTTTGTTCTAAGAAAAGCTCTTATGGTCCAGTGCTTTTGAAAAAGTTCTTACTGACTAGTTCGTTAAACGGAGAAAGTTTACATATTAAGACCTTATCCCAATTGATAATGATAATAATTAATGAATGGAAAGTTTTGTGATTTTGCAGAATCAGTATATCTACTTTCCAACTCACTTTTTTTTTAATGGAAACTGAAATTCATTTAAAAATCATCAAATAGGACAGTACAATAAAATAAATATAAAATCAAAGAGAGTCGACTCAATCATCATACGCCTCCTAAAGTAATAATAGGTGGGGGATGATCAAAGAAACAAAATGAACTCTCTATAAAATGAGTTTCATTAGCAAGAAAATGGGCATAACTAAGGACATTTCTAGAAACAAAATTAACAGAAATAGACCAATCTCTATAGATAAGATTGCAAGCATTCTGAATGATGCTCCTATAAGGGTGCTCCTCATGGTATCTTCTCATGAGGCTTTCCAACTCATTTTCAACATTCAATGTACACCTTTGTTTAAAGTTTGGTTTGAACCAGGCTAAATTGGTAAAACCCTACTTTATTTATTCTCTTCAAGATGATATTGGATTGTATTAGTTTTGGATTGGGTTAAAAAAAAGATTTTCATCATTAAAGATATCGTAATTATTAACAAATTATATTTAAAGTTATACTCATTTTTTGAAAAGAAAATCGATGTTTAATATAATTACAATTTTTATAAAAAGAATTTAAGTTAAAAATAAACTTTAGTATCATGATATATTAATTAATTGGATTAAAAGTTTCAAAGTATTGGTTCTGTTTTGTAAAATGTATTGATTCTAAATACAACTTAAACTTATACATTATCAATTCTATGTTAACAATATCTTAAACAAATCAAACAATTTATTAATATTTTTGAAGGTAAATTTATTTGATGATTTGGTTTTATGTAACCAAACTAAAACTAAACCAAACCATTTGATTTTGACATTAAAATAAATCAAGCAAATCTCATTTGTAACTATTTTGGTTCAATTCGATTGAATTTGTTTTGTTAAATTTTGAACACCTTTATAAATTGTACAGCCTTTCAATAAAAAAATGAGAAATTTCCATGGCTTAAATTGATTCCTAGTAATCAAAATTTACAAAAATTGTCACTAATTTTGAGTTTTTTTAATATGTATATATATAATGAATTTTTTATCATTAAAATATCATATTTTAATGACAATAAAGTCCTACAAAATGTCATAGTCTTTTTCAAGTTCATATGAATTTTTTCAACATTAATAATTTTTGATGAGATGACTAAAATACACTTAATTTAAACTAGAGTGGTAGTTACTTGTTCTGTTTTTATTATCGGCAAAAGAAAGTAATCATTGCTAAAGTAAAATATATATTTATAATATTTGGACCTTAGTGAATTAGAAAATTTGTATAGTAGTTATTATTATTTGTTCCATTCTAATTATTACTAGAAAAAGTAGTTATTGATTAAATTAAAGTAATCATAAATATTTACAATACTTGAATTTCAGTGAATAAAAAATTTGCACAAGAAAAGTTATAATTGTTTGTTTCATTGTAGTCATTGCTATAAGAAAAGTAATTATTCCTTAAATTAAAATAATCATGAGTATTTATAATATTTAAATTTTATTGAATAAAAAAATTGTATAGAAAAAATTGTAATTGTTTATTTCAATATAGTCATCATTAAAAAAATAGTTATTATTTAAACTACAATAACAACTGATATTTATTTTTTTTGGGGACAAGAATTGTTGCTTTTTTAGTTTAAACTGGAAGTTTAGTCATTTCATAAAAAATTATTACTAATGTCAAAGGACTTGAGATAAATTATGACATTTTGTGAAATCTCATTATCATTTACATATTTTAGGAGGATTTTGCTGTTTTTTTCTCATTTTTTATTGAATTAAAATTAAAATTCTCAATGGAGTTTTCCCAAAAATTTCCGCGGCAGAATTTGGCCATTTGGGTAGTTCTTAACAGAGAAGCAGACAGTCCCGCACTGTTCATCCCATGTCCCAATAGCGACGGATATAGTGGCTCCAAGATGTCGCCCTCTTTATACACACAATATATCTTCTAAAATTCTTAATTCTATAATATGATATTTATATAAAAATAAATTCATTTTTAAAATATTTATCATTTGGCCTTCTCCAGACAAATTAGTCTTTGCTAATAGAAAATAAAATACTCCAAGTATTTAAATAAATAAATAAATATATATATATATATATAAGAATAAAAAGAAACTAATTTGCTATATGCATTTACTATTGATATATTTCGAAAAACTAGATTAATTTTTTTATCTCTTTCTAATGTTTTTTAAAGGCACTGAACATCACGAGTAACACGGTAGACGCTACTGTGACTGCTCGTGAGTGGAGCTCTTGTTTGCGCGCGTTCTCCTCCCGTCCGTCCGCTCCTTTTGCATCTTCACGAGTCTGCCGCTTTATATTTTTTGGTTTCCATCAAATTTTTCCTTCACGAGATTAAGAGAAGCCTCTGGGGCCTGACTCAGATACTATCTAAAACGTGAACAAGTTACGACTCAGATACACGGGGAGGTTACCCACTTAATCCTTTCTAAGGATTAAATTCTCTCAATATTTTTTTTCCCATCAATATCTGATAAGCCAGGTTACACAATGAAGTTTGATAACAAAATTATAGGAAGTTCTATTTGGAACAACTTGGAATTGGGACACAACCTGTCTATTTAATTACTCTTCATTAATTATTTAAATAAAATTAAGTGTTCCAATCAATCCCTCAAGAAACTACTGCCATGCACAGTCGTAGCATTTATATTAATAACAAGAAGAAAGTTTAAACTGATTAAAACGAGGCAGACAAGAGATACCTTAAATGTCTGGATTTCTTGAACGTAGGATCGCAACCGATTTCAGAGAGGCCTGTTAACAGCAAAACACTTGACTTTCTCGTTCAATTGCAATCATCCATCAGTTCTGAATACACACCTGATCGGACTTTCGCGGGTACAAGGTAAACAAGGTGCATATTACACCACAGAACAAATAAGGAAAGCGACCCAAAACAATAAAAAACAAATCATCAAATACCCATGTATTTCAGCATATCTTTCTTGCAAAAGAAAAACTAATAACTGCAAACTTGTCCAAGTAACTAGTGAAATCTGTTCTATATTTTCAAGCAGAAACGAACAAAAATTATACAAGTGGAAAGAGTTGCCAGGAGGTCCATACACAAGAAGAAAAATTAAAGGATCAAACCCTCAGGAGAAGACTTAGACGGGTTCTGTGAACCCGTTGCTGGTGCTGCTGCTGGTGGCTCAGAGAGGACCTGAGCATGCTGATCCTTTTGCTTCCGTTCCTCCTCTGTATTGTGCACTTTCTCCTTTGTCTTCTGTCCTACATCCTCAGCTGCCTTAACAACCTTACTGAAAGCACCTGTCACCCACGATGCCCCAGTGAGTATATAGCGATTTTTCATGATAGCAGAACCTGCTTCATTGACCTTCTGTTCGGCAGCTGCAAATGCTGTTTTGGTTTTTTCTGAAACCTGAAACTTTTGATCAACTTCTCGAACTCGATCACTCATGGCTGAAGCACCAGCAGTTATTTTCTCACTGAAACCAATTTTCTGATCAAAAGATGCAACTTTTGCTGAGGCAGTTGATGATAAATGATGCGTTTCATCAAATGTCTTCGCTTTGCTGACAGCATCTTTCCCCAAGACAAAGCCCCTGGCCAGCATGCCGGTGACAACATCCTCTGCCTTTCTAAAAGCAGATTCAGCACCACCAGGAGCCTTACTTTCAGTTACCTGTAAAGCCACACAAATTGTTATGCCAAAGCAGCCTAATTTGGTTTAGTACAATTGTAGAGGGTCATGCAAAGCTTACAGGTGATGTCAAAGCAGCTGGTGGAAGCTCGTAATCTGGATCCAAAGTTACTGTAACCGACGAATCAACTATTGTTGCTCCCTAATAATTGTCAAACCAGGGTGAAACTTGTTACACATTACAATTGTAAGCTACATAGGCTGATATACAAAAGGGAGATGGACATGGTTGTGAACAATAACTCATCAATATAATTACAGCCATGCAACTAGATATACCCCCCGCCCAAAAAAAAGACACCACTATATGCATCCAAAATAGAGGTAACAGATCATCTTGGTAATAGCTATTATCAAAATTGGTACATAAAATAACTTCACTAATAAGAAAGCCAGTGGCAAATAAAGAATGCAACACAAGCTTATACTTGTAACCAGAAGCTCTCATCCAAACTCTTCAAAATCCCCTTCCTATTTATATTTTTTTTGGCCAGCCCTTTCTATTGACATTAAATCTGACATTGACTATCTTGGTTCCCAAAGGATACTTCTATCTAAAAGCCATGAGAGAATTTTCAATATCACAACTTTCAAGAATTTGTAAACCATCCATTCAGTAAGATCAGAGAAAGTCTAGGTTAATATTTTGTAGAGCCAGCTCTGATTGTCATGCTCCAAATTAATCCCAAACCTTCTTTTTTGCTATCAAGGAAAAGGAAATCCAAGATTCTGAGTCAACATGTTGCCACAAATGGAAGAGGTTTCTTTCAATTGGAGATCTTTATGGTCAAAATAACTAATATGAACATCACTGTCAGCAGCAGAACCATCTTTTCCTTAAAATGTAGTTTAAAGTTAGAAATTAACAGTAATTGTCTAGCTCCTGATATTTTAAAAAGCAGTGCGGGATATATGCAGGCTCCAAAAACTAAAAAAGGGCAGTACAGATAACCTAAAAAAACTGAGATGCTTTAAAAACATATAAAGTTTCTAGTTTCAGACAAAATGTGAAACGAAATCATTCATCATGATTGAAGATAACATGAGAAGTGGCCCATTTTAAACAAGAGAGTGCTGCAAGGGAAAGCCTTGACAAAAGGAGATTCGGAAGCCTATCTGAACCATGTTGTGCTCTACAATTGTCCGATGGATTTTAATTTCCAGATATTTCACTGATATTTATCCAGAAAGATGCATGTATCAACTGACCATAGCACCTCTCAAAAACTGACAAGGCAACAAGTGACCTTTAGTTCTAAAGCTTGAACTCTAAATAAAGGGTACAGATATAATGTTATGGCCTTTAATCCCAGACAAGTAGACTAGAAATTTGAGGTACTTGAATGTATACTAAAAATTTGAGTTCATTGATGAAAAACAGATTACCGATAGTAGTGCAGCAGTCTCAGCTCCTTGTGCATCCTTGAAGGTGACATAAGCAATTTGAGATCGTTCATCATGACTACATCAAATAAGAGATTGAGGTTATTGTTTAAAAAAGAAGTTCAAATCAAAAGCACTACAAAATAAGGGATTGTATTGTATGTGCGGAATATAGCAACTGCCAGCTTACCTCCTCAGTTCAACATATTCAATATCACCAGAAAAAGAAAAAAATTCCTTAATGTCTTGTTCAGTTGCTCCCAGGGAAAGATTACTGACTTTAACAGTTTTTATTTGCTGCATAAGCAAAGTTAACAAGGTTTAGATAGACCACACTCAAAAGCAAAGGTTAAAGCATATTACTCATTCAAAAGAAAGCAGACAATCAATAGAGAAAGCCTGCACCCAAAAGCTAGACGCGTGAAGCAAAAAAAAAAAAAAAATCTTTAAAACACAATTTGGGACACCACCAGCTAAAAATATTTCAATCAGCTGGACTAAAGAGGCACGCACATTTACTTCCAACTTCTCCCCTGGATAAGAATAATTGGTTCACCCTTTCAATTTCTCTTTCTCGTCTACTAGCAGCCAATATTACAGCTTCTAATTGGGGACTCTTACATATGTGCATGTAAATTTTTCCAGTTCTTAGTACTCTATGTTGTTTCCAGTCACAAACCGGGGGGGGGGGGAAGCTTCCCCATAGTCCAACATTATTTTACTGCCACGGCCTTTCTACCTTATTTAGTTGCATAATTCACTCAAATTTTAAGATTCTATTCCTGTTTAGAGATTTTATGTGCTGCATCCCACAAAAATTGAGGATCATTTCATGTTTCCAACGTGTAATTCTGGATTACTTTTATCTTCTTGATGCTTTGTTATGAGTATGACTTAGGTTTAGTTTTGGTGATGATTTTAGTGATATAAAATCTATCTTTGAGATTTTTTTCCCCATTTATTACTATGTAGAACTGAGGCTCTAACTTCTAAATCGTTAGTTAGCGGTGTCAATAATTCTATTATCCAAAAGCAGTCTTGCCAAATATGCACTTTGCTCATTTTCTTTCACTTTTTATGAGAAAAGTTAGAATTGGAGCATCGTTTCCGACCATCGTTTAGTATAAATCATGAGACATCCACATATTGGATTATTATTATCAGAAAACTTATCTGTAACTATCCACTACCCCTTAAAGTGAATCTAAAAAGTAGTAAATAGGAATTGGCTAAACCTATAGGAAAATTGCGTTCTAAGAAGTGATGGATAGGAGAGAAAATAATACAAACGGCCGGCAAGCTTTTCGGACGAGTTGAAAGTAACAACTAGATCATTCTTTCAAAGCATGATATACGTAAACAGAAATTTACACTGAAGAGCTTAAACCAATAAAAAATATAAGCATTCGCACAAAACACTTCTATCCAGTCCGCAGATAAGTCAAACCAGCTAAGGCTCATACAAATAAGATGAACAAGAACCAAAACTCACCGACATCGCGAAACGATTGGCAATAGAAATCTCCTGTGAACGGAAACCGCCAAGTAACTCAGCTATCGGAGCGGTTATCTCTCTGGCAAAGCCTTTGAGAAGCGAAGTCCGCGAAGAAGATTCTGCAGGCGGTTGAATTTTATTTCACGGAACTTTTTTTTTTTTTTTTTTTTCAGATGTCATGTGTGGATCTTGGATACGCGTGCTTGACTCAGTTTTGCACGTGCAAGTACCTTACAGGAAAGGAAATGCTTCCGCGTTATTTGAAAAGACAAATTACAAGGTGCTACAAAAAAAAATTTAATTATTAAAAAATCTCATTAAATATAAAAAATATTTTTTAAATTTTAAATTTTATGTATTTATAATTTAATAAAGGACATTTATTAAATTTATAAAAAAATAACAACTTATAATCTTATGTGTATCAAATTGTCATTTTTATTTCTAAGTTAGAGGTGCTCATTGTTTAATAATATATATTATTTGTTAAGTTATAAATATCTGAAATTTGAAATTTAAAAATATTTTACATATTTTATGAAATTTTTTTAATAATTAAATGTTTTTTATAGGACTTTAATATGATTTTCCTGCTTGAAGATGCTCCGAGCTGGACACGGAGATGAAGTGGAATTTTTTTTTTTTGGGGGGGGGGGGGGGGCGCGTCAGGCACGGAGTTGAAGTTTGGAGAAAGGTTTTTAAACTTTTATCTAGACATGTAATAAATATTCCAATAATTCATTGAATATGCGGTTGATAATTCATTCTCGTGCTGACTTCTTCAAAGCAAACTTTTATTGTTATTGGTAAAACAAAAAGTAAAATTTTGCTATTGTTTAGGAAAATATCGGCAAGAAAAAAATCTACTTGTTCTGTCTTATCCATATTTTAATTTAATTATGTCTTATCTTCTAATCCAAACGAGCGCCACCACAGCAAACAAACAGCAACATGAGAGTTTTTGAGTCAAGTTCCAGGACACCAATTTAACCGGTACACAAACAAGATCTATGAAAAATTATGTTTTTGATTTAAAGATGAAGTTTTATTAAAGATAAAAATAATGTTTAAAAAATCAAACTGCCGGACAATCGAATTGTTGATCAAAGTTGTTAACGACTTGATTTGGACCAAAAAATCATTTTGATGATTGAATTGGATTTGATCAAAGTTGAACTGTTATTAAACTGAAAATCCAAGTTAAACCGAAGCTGTTTTTAAAAAACTGGGCTTTTTTAAATATAATATTAAAAAATCCTTAAAAATGAAAAAAATTAAAAAATTAAATCCCTACTAAAAGCCAACTTTATTTTTGAACAATTAACATATATAAAATATAATTTGAGATTATTTTTTATAAAAAAATGTTAACAATATGGGTGCAAATACAAATACTTTCAAGTTTATTTATATCTAATTTAACAAATTATAAAATTATAATTTATAATATTATTAATTTACGGTCATTTTATTAACATACTATAGGCTTATTTCTTATATACATTTAATATTATTTTTATTTAATTATTACATTATTAGTTTAACCACTTATTTTAATCGGTTAGACCATAAAAATCAAGAATCATTGATTTTTTTTATTTATTATTTGATTCAATTTTTAAAACATTTTTTTAAAAAAAAGTACAGGATAGAGGTGAGCAAGAAAACCCAACATTGTGCTTTCTGGGAAAGATGCATATGAGATCAAAGCCAACAGTCTTCCTGGCAGAAATAAAGAGGCTGAGCTTGGAACAAGCCTTTTCCTTTGCCCCTTCCAGTTGATTAATCCAAGTGATTAATATACTTAGCATGGACAAAATGGAAGGAAGATCCACACTGACAATAATATTATGCAACACGTGTCCATGTACACAGCTAATCATGAGATACTAAATTGGTAAACGAGAGAATGGGATACTAATGCTCACCTTAGTAAAAGAAAAACATCTCGATCTTCACCAAAATGTTTAATAAGTCAATTAGACTTGACAAAATTTAGACACCCAAAAAAAAGTAACAAATAAACCAACCCATTAGCGGACCTAAGATCCCAAGCCAATAAGGGTAATATTATTTTAAAATAATTATAAATAATAATAATTAAATAAAAATTAGTGTGGTGTTATGAGTGTCATATTAGGAGCCTTAAAGGAGGAGTAGGGGCTTATGAGAGATTATCATCACAAAAAGAGCTATCCACAGCAAAGGATTCTAATTGACAGGAGGTTGAGACTATAGGAGATGTTAGCTTTCAAACAAGGTGGCATTGTTATGAGTACGTTATGTTAGATAACCTCACAAGTAAAATGAGATTTATAAATATGAGTGTTTCTTTTACTTAATAGGCTAAATTTTTTAAAATGGCTTTTTCCTTTAAACTTATATGGTTTCACTAAAATATATAATAAATACAATGTATAAAGATAAAATTAAAAGACATTTCACTAAAAATATAGGAACTTTTAATAAAATTGAATAAATTATTCAATTAAAAATAAAAATAATGAAAATTCATTGAAAAACAACAAGTCATAAACCACAAAGTTTAATCTAAGGGAGAATTGCACCTAGCAACCTAACAATCAAGAAAATTGTAACTAGGGCCAATGCTTCTATAAGCACGAAGGCTCTGGTTGCAATTAAATTGTATTACGAAATGAAAAAATTACTCTTGGTTTATAAAAGAAGCATTGCTTAACATGTAGAACCTTAAACTACAATGATGTGCACGAGAGCATTACTGTCGATGGTGACGACAGCATAGAGTGGGAAAAGGAATAGGGTAGGTGGGTATGGCAACAAGATCGTGTATATGATACCCAAAATCCAAAGGGTAAGTGGGATCCAAAGACTCTTGAGCCTCTTATATGCAATGAATCATAAGGGCAACAATAATATAGATCTAGATCAACTCATCACTATCATGCCATCACACCAAAAAATGTTCCCATTCTTTGCACCTGAGATGGATTTAATTGAGAGTTTTACATGACATAATAGGGTGTATATGAGATGAATTTTTTATTATAAAAAATGCACTTTAGTGGTGTTCAAACTGGAATTACAGTTGTGATTTAATTATTGATATAATATAACTTGATTACTGAATAATTTGACTTGTTTGCTAAACTCTAAATTGATAGTGGATTGTTTGTTGTGAAATTATGATGATTTACTTGCTCATATTGGATGTTCACATGTGAATATATGAACCTTTGCCTGTGAATATATAGACTTTTATTTATAAATATTTGAAATTGGATATGTGAACCTTTTGTTGTTAATATGTGAATATGTAGTTTTACAACTCAAAACTTTTGTTTGCTATTATTGAACCTTGTTTTTTAGTTTGAAACTCTGAACTTTGATTTGTAAATTGATGAACGTGTACTTGTAAATATTGAAACTTTTTTAAGTTGTAAATTTGTAAACTTATCTAATACGAACTTGTTAACTTTGAACAAGAATTTCACTACCAATGGACAATTACTTGTTAATACATGTATCTAAAGTTGTGAAATTGTGAATATATGGTTTTAAAAATCAAAACTTTTACTTGCTATCATAACCTTATTTTTAAATATATGAAATTAGAAATTATAGACTTTGACTTGTAAATTGATAAACTGGTACTTGTGATATTTGAACTTCAAGTTGTAAATTTGTGAACACGGACTTGTCAACTTTGAATAGAAATTTCACTACTAATAGACAATTAATTATTAATATGTGAATCTAAAATTGTGAAATTATGAATATGTAGTTGTAAAAATTAAAAATTTTACTTGCTATCACAACCTTATTTCTAAATATATGAAGTCAGAAATTATAGACTTTGACTTGTAAATTAATGAACTGATACTTGTAAATTTTCAAATTTTAAGTTATAATTTTGTGAACTTTTGTGTTGTTAATCTGTGTTGGTGTATTGGGTGCGACATTTTGTATTAATTAATGGAGCATTTCAATAATGTTAAAGCTCAAAGTGTCCTTATGCTCACAGCAAGAACTAGAGGAAAATCAAAATGACAAGATGAAGCATTAAAATGTAATTAGTATTTCTCTAGGATTGTGTTATGCTATCTTAAGTTAGTTTTTTCATATGGAACTGGTTTTTTTTGTAAATCAATGTATGACAGATATCGTGGCATATGCTTGGAGAACACTTGTTGTGGTGTAAATGTCATATATTTGTAATGAAAAGTCAAGTTTTTCAAGTTTATTCACAACAAAAAATTCGTATAGAATATAACAAGGTCCATTTATTAATAATACAATATCAATTTATTTCACATAGTTTGTGTGGTTGAGTTGAAAATTTGTACAAGTTTTCCAAATTTATGAACAATAGAAAATCCGTATATAATATGACAATGTCGACTTATTAATAACATAATGTCCATCTGTACAGCATGCTTGAACATACATACAACATGCTTTCATTAAAATAACAAGAATATTTATATCAGATTTAGATAATCTTATGCTAGCACTGGCCCTTCCATTAAGACAAGTATCAACATGAAATTTTATGTCACATTTCATGCTTGATATATATAAAAAGTCAGCAACTATATCTAAATCAAAACTCTAATGCTACGGAGATATAGAACTTTCATTTATCAATTAAAAGTCTATATATTTACAAGTAAAAGCTTATGTATTCATAGGCAAAGATTCATGTGTTCACATGTGAATCTAATATAAACAAGTAAACCATCATGATTTTACAACAAATAATCTACTATCAATTTAGAGTTCAGCAAACAAGTCAAGTCACATTTGTAACCAAGTTAGATTATATTAGCAACTAAATCACAACATCAATTTTGATTTGAACACAACTATAATGCATTTTTTTACAATAAAAAATTTATTTCATATGTACCTAACTACCCTATGTAAAATCCCTAATTAAATCTATTTCAAGTGCAAAGAATGGGAACTTTCTGGGCGTGATGGCATGATAGTAATGAGCTGATCTGGACCTCCATTATTGTTGCCCTCATGATTCCTTGGCTTATCACATATATAAGGCTTAAGAGTCTTTGGATCCTATTTAACCCCTCAATTTTGGCCATCATATGCATGAGCTTGCCGATCAGACCTCCTACTCCATTCCATTTCCTACTCTCTGCTACCATTACTATTGGCG